TACGATGTTGGAGTTTCCGGAGCTTGCGATTGTGAGTGGCTATAAAAGTTGACATAATCTTTTGCAAGCTCCAGTTCAGGTGGATCTTTTTGCCAATGCTTTGAGAAATGAACAAGATCGAGTTGGGTAAGAGAAAGATGAACTACAACTGCAAGAGAATGGTGACAAATTATTCCGGCAAACTCAAGGTTACGACAGCAACAAGTAAGTATACAGTCATTATAGTATACCCAGCGTATAATGTCAGGCCTTTCATAGCGTGATAATTTAAAATGACGCACTCCATTGTTGTTTGTTGTTTCTTCGCATGCGTATGCATCTTTGGCATTCCATTCAGCCGCAAATTTCTTCCAAGCATACCGTGTCAGATAATTAATGGCTTGATTTTCTATAGGATTTTGGGAAGTCAAACGGATGGGGTAAACGAGCTCCTTGTATGTAGCAATATGCTCAGCCTCTTCACGATGATCAAGTGCCCGTTCAAAAGCCGCAAGAAATTCTGTGAGTCTGGTTTTGCTGTCGAGGAAGCCCTTTAACAATTTGTTCATCGACTCTCCTCTCTGTGTTGATGACATATCAGCAAAAAAATAGTCCTTGAGGTATGCTGGGGCCCAACGCTCACGCCACTGACTAAGGATGTTTAAATATGATCTTGCTTTAGCATAGTCGTCGTTTTCCACAATACGATTCCATTGCTCCTCAAACTCATTTCGATCGATGCAATGATTAAGACACTTAACAAGATCCTTATGAAACTCGGCATACTTTAGTCCAAGCTTAGAGGTCATATTTGACTTGATATTATTAAGCATGTGCCATATACAAAGATCATGCTTGGTACCATGTTTTTCGGTCAGAACAGAACAGATGGCATCAGCTATTGAGAAATCATTATCTGTGAGAATGGTTTGTGGTGCAGTGCCAAAAATATGAATAAAGGATTCGAAAAGTCACTCAAAACTTGAACGGGTTTCATTCATCCCGAAGCAATGCACCAGCAACACAATAAGAGAGATCATTATTAGTAACACCTGTGAACACGCCAAAAGGCATCAAAAAATAGTTACTCTTATACGTGTTATCATATATAATCGTATCATGAAAACGCATATATTGCCATTTTTGTGATGAAAATGCCCAAATTACATGTTTCAAGCGATTGTCATTATCCAACTTGAACTCATAAGAAAACTCAGGATTGTTATTGCATTTTTGCTGGAGGAGAAGGAGGAAATCATGCGCTTGAAATTCGCTACAAGAAATATAATCAGAACTAATCAAGTTATATATATCTTTGATCAACCACTTCTTCGTGACTGGATTTGTGATGTTGAAATGCCTGCTTTTTTTGCAAGAAAAATTTCCTCTTTAATTTCCACTGGTATTTTACGGTTAGCAGACAAGATACGCATAAGTTGGACTGGAATCAATAAATGGTTATGATGAAAAATGGCTTGAGAAATATAATATATATCATCATTTCGGTTATAATTGAGACGAATAAACCACGGGCAATTGCATTTTTTCGATTCTACATTTCTGTTCTTTTTATTGGGATCTTTAGGCTTTGGTTTGAACAAACCATAGCGATCACAAGCAAAGACTTGAGTGGAACGCACGCCATCACTACGATTGTTGCCTTTGTAGAGAATCACCTTAAATCCATTTGTTCTGGCATATTGATCAGCAATATATTTAAAGACTTCAAGAGAGGAGTAAGCCTGGCCATGTTGAAAAAGTGAGCTTTCGGGTTCCAGCGAGCTTTCGGGTTCCAGCGAGATTCCAGGTTCCTTATTATAATCACAGTTTTCATTAGAGGTGGTAGATTGGCTCGGAACAACTTCTTTAAAAATGTTAAAAATACAATTAGTCTTTTTACAAAAAATATTAAATGACAAACAAACATCTTATCATCTTGTATTATTGCTTCTTGATGCATACTCGGTGTAATACTAGTCATTGTTCAGATTTGACAAGATGTAAAAACAATACAACGAATGAAATGAACTTGGATGATGAGATGACGATGTTAAATGAGGAGGTAATGTTCATACGAAATTTAAACTGGAACAAAGCTTCATCACCTACGCACAAGAACCTACGTACAGCACACTAATAAATGAACAAACATACGTGTACAGTAAGAAACAATATGTGTGATTGTGTAATATCGTCAGGGACTTGCTGCACATGGCTAAAGCAAAGCAGTTTTCACGTGATGCAGATCGCATCAGTATTACTGATGTATACGTATTTGACTGGTTTGTTTTTGCTTTTTGT